ACCTCTGCTAACCCGCGAATGAGCCAGAGTGCCCACTCGGGTTCAAGCACTAAACCATATACTTACATTCCTAGTATAGAAAATTCTATTGGTTAACTACATATATTAAAAAAAAAAAAATTTACAAACACCACTTCACTGACGCGGGCGGGATATGAAAACCAATTGTATAATTTTACGTGGCCTAATTTGATCTCATAATTATATAAAAAATTTAAACGAAATCTCTTGTATAATGAAGAAAGCATTATTCTTACGAAGTCAATAAATGTCAACTAAAATGTTAATAAATTATGTGTAATAAGTAAAAAAAATATGTGATATTATGGCCTTATTCTATCTATAAATAATGTGAATAGAATTTCAATAAAAACTACAGCTTTTATAGAATATTTTCATGAAGGGAAAGCTAATTTATTTGTTGGTTCAATTTCACCTTATGGTTATTAGCTCTCTTTACGTGAGGTTACTTTCTCTTAGTGGGATTTCAATTGCATTTTTTATATGGAGGCAACCTGTCCAATTACCTTCTATTTATAAGAAGTTGCTTTCATTAATGGGATGATGATATTAAATTCTTATCATGAGAGGTTACCTTTTTTTGGTGAAATATTAACTGCCTTCTCTTGATGAGAAACTGCCAAATTTATCTTCTCTTTTTTTAAGCTTTTTAATAAATTCTTGACAGAAACACTTCTGTATAAGCTAATTTTACCTTTTTTTGCGAACCTAAACACAGTATAAAACGGCTCAGCTGTGGAAAACCCGATTGATTAATACTAGTATTATAGGTGAAATTACTTTTCAGAATCTTTTTCTTGAGTAAAATAATTACTAAGATAAAACATTTCTGTGAATTCTAATTTAACTGAATAAAATTATTTTTGAATTCTGAATATTTTCATTAGGGTAAAATAATTTGAAATTTCCTTTTCGAATATTTCAATAACTACCTATATTTTATTATTAGAAAAAATTTTATTCTCAATAACAGCACAATAACACATATTGAAAATAAGTTTCAATAAATATTATGAATAAATAAAATTTAATAGAATCTAAAATCAACCAATTACATCCTT